AAAGTAGTATTTTAGTCTCAAATTTTAGGAATTAAACTATCACTTTCTATTCTCCAAGAATGAAACCGCCCTTAGGATTATAAGATGCACTTTAGTCTCTTGGTGTTTAATAATAATTTTCCACTTTGTAACTTAAAAGTCTCAAATTTTAGGCAGTAAATTATCACTTTTAGTTCTCCAACGATAAAACAAACTTCACAATCGGGATTAAAAGGTGCACTTTAGTCATCATATAATAAAGTATTTTGTACATTGTAAATTAAAAGTACATTTTTAGTCCCTAATTTCAAGAAGTAAAGTATTATCTTTAGTTCCCCAATAATTAAACTCTAACTTTATCCTCGGAATTAAAAAGATGCACTTTAGTCCCTTGGCGTATAATAATAATTTTGCACTTCGTAGCTTAAAAGTACTATTTTAGTCCCAAATTTTAGATAGTATCACTTTAAGTTCTCCAACGATAAAACAAACTTCACAATTGGAATTAAATAGTGCACTTTAAACCCTTGATATATAATATATTATTTTGTACTCCTTTATTATTTTATCTGTAATTACAGGGAGTATTGCTTATAGTCCTCCAATAATGAAACAAACTTAGCTGTTAAAACATGCACTTTAGTCCATTAGTATGTAATATACTATTTTCCACACTCTGATTTAAAATACTGTTTTAGTAAAGTGTTGCTTATTGTTTTCCCGGGAGCAACCTACTTCTTGAAACTAAAAAATACTCCGTGGATTAAAAGTACTGTTTTAGTCTTCAATTTCAAGAAGTAATATCACTTTTAGTCCACAAGAATTAAACACAGATCACTTCCGGGATTGAAAGATGCACTTTAGCCCCTTTGTATGTTTATATTATTTTATACTTCGTAAATTAAAAAATACTATTTTAGTACCTAATTTCAAGCAGTAAACTGCTACCTTTAGTACTTAGGAATTATATAAACTTCTCCCTAGGGGTTAACGGTGCACTTTAGTCCCTTCATGTAGGATGTACACCCTAAATTGAAAGTACTATTGTAGTAGGTACCTAATTTCAAGATGTAAAGTATCACTTTTAGCCCGTCAGAAAATTAAAGTGTCACTTTGAGTCCCTTGAAATTAAACAAACTTCCACCTCGAAATTAAAAGCACTTTAGTTTTTGGTAAATAATATTTTGTCGTATATTCCGTGGATTGACATTGCTGTCCTTAAAGTGTCACGTTTACTCACCCAGGGATTAAGCAAACTTCGCTCTCGAGATAAAAAAATGCACTTTAGTTGCATTGTAAATATGTACTATGTTGCATTCGGTGGATTAAGTATTGTTTTAGTTCCTAATGTTAGGAGAATAAGACAAACTTCATCCTCGAGACTAATTGATGCACTTTAGTTCATCTGTTACTTCAGGCTACCAAATGTTGAAAACTGAAAAATACTCTTTAGTATGTAAAAGCAATTTCAGTTTAATTATTATTAATTACAATATGTCAGAGTTCTGTCATATGGGAATTGTGCCTCAGAGGTGATCTTGATAAAAATAGGTTTAAATAAAGGTCAGAATCCCCGTCTGATAACACCCAAATTAGGTAATTGCGAGGCAATAAAACAGGATTAGTTGTAAAGTTATGTAGTTAGAACAAAACGAAAATTAAACTGTGGAAGATTGAGTTTGGGGTAAGGTACGGCAACATTTGCGCTGGGACGAAGGGATTCGGTTTTCTTAATAAACATTGTGTGATGTAACATAGACGTTGTGCAATTAGTGACGCAAGCTTATAGAAACGTATAATGACAGATATCTAAGCAACCATTAAACTAATTGTACATCTGTAAGCGCTATCAACAACTGTAACAGGTGCAGCTGATAAAATGACTAAGGGGAGTGCTTCGGTGGCTAAAGTTTACCAGAGTCTTTCACATCCTAAATTAAAATTAAAAAAATATCAACGCATTTAATTAATTAATTTGGAGTGCTCGTTTCCGATTATTTGCGAGTACGTTGATTTATTTTCGAAATGGCCAATGAGAGAGAGGCTAAATTGTTTTCTGCAACGCCTCCTCTTACGATTTGTTTACTTTTAAAAGGTAGTGTCCACGGATTGCCCTAATGTACCGCTTCTATGAAGCACCTGTATTATTCACAGTATCAAGATTAATAGTAGCTTGATAAATATAGTATTTTATTCGAGAATCGGGAATGGTTTACACTCGAGGCGTGTTCTTCGCGTAGCATCCTCCGCGTAGCATCCTCTTAACGAAAAGCTCTCGTCAAGAGTACATAAGATTAATAGTAGGCTTTGTTTATCCTATGTAAATGCTATTAGCGCATTTACTGCGCTTAAAGTCTGTGCTCGAGCATTTATTTGCTACAACACGACATCCAAATACTGAGTGATTTATCATGCATTGCTAATCGGCCGTTTTATGCAAAGGGATATGCTAATCCTTAAAGGTACCTAGCAGTATTTTCCGCTGACGAAATATATTTAATTATTATTTAATTCCATGGAATTCTTATTATTAAACTCTAGAACTCAATTTTACGTTAAGCGCTCGCCGCAGTGTATCGATTTATCCTGAAATGCATTTCCATTTTTAATTTTTCAAAATATTATGACAAGTAAAGGGTGCAGCGCATTCCACTTCGTTTTGATATCATTCGATCGTGTTTATTATTTTATTAGCGCACTTACGGATAAAAGTTGAATGTGCAGAAGAGACAGCAGTGTAAATTCGAGCGCGGTAAAAAAACCTTTACTAATTAAAACAATTTCAAGAATGCCGAGCTGTTCTGAATTGCCAACGCGCGAAGTGTATAATTCAGAGAATCACTCGGAAATATTGCTAATCGGCAAGCTCCCGCTTCAATAAATCCTAGCTTATCCACACCTATACTATGTATTTTCAATTTCGCTCCACCGACGCCTGATATTTTATTCTCCAACATCAAAACGTCTATTTACCTTCATATTTTTACTACATCTGAAATTTTAAGTAGGAATATTTATTATTTAGTTCCCCTTCAAAACTTTATTCAACTATTTTAATAAATTAAGTCCTTATTTAGCTAAATTATCATCGTCGTACAGGGTGTCAAATTATCAGTGTAACAAACCTAGAATTACATATTTAGACCCACTAAAAACATTTGTTGTTCCAGTTTTTCTGTAATTTCTCTACCCATTTCGGGAATATTTGAAAAAGTGGAATTCCTACGTGATCTTTGTATACAAGTTGTTCAAATTAAACTTCTCTACGGACACCTATTGGGAGTTAAGAATTCAATTTTGTAATCGAATTGCCTCTAGTATAAGTGAAGACGAGGGAGACGAGATTTGTAAAAAGTTAATTCAAAATTAAATTTAGTATCGAACTAGGACACTTCTGTTTTAGATATCTCCAAATTTTCATGAAATTTCGAAACACTTTCAAAATATTAAAGATTCCAATAGATCATAATTCTGTTTTTTTTTTTTTACAGGAGGATTTCTATAAGAAACTATTCGGAGTCGGATCCTATGTCTGGAGCTAGGAGTATACTTTTGTTGTTGCTGATATCAACGAATCCACAAGAAAACGCATCCCATTAGTTCGTGTAAAGAAGTTACATTGTTTAATGTTTATTACTTTGTCCTTAATGAACATTTTCAAGATAATAAACTGATTATTTATTATTTATTTATTTTCCATCCGCGTGTCATAGTTCGTGAAAAAATCTTAAAAACCTCGCAACCCCTTAGAGGTAGAAAGAAACTGATTTCACCCCGTGATTCCCCAGGCTCTCTAGTGTCTGTGGGATTTTTTTCAGATTATTCTGAGCCCCAAAACATTTCTCTAAAAATCGATGGACTAGCCCATGAAAATTTTCAAAAAAAAATGAATTCGTCATTTAAAGGGCTTATTGTATGTATTTGAGGGTGCTGAACACGTAGGGATGGTTATTTTCCGTTCGCGTGCCGTAGTTCATGAAAAAATCTTAAAAATCTCGCAAACCCTTAGAGCTAGAAAGAAACTGATTTCACCCCGTGATTCCCCAGGCTCTCTAGTGTCTGTGGGATTTTTTTCAGATCCGCGTGCCATAGTTCATGAAAAAATTTAAAAATCTCAGAAACTCTTAGAGCTAGAAAGAAAAGAAAATGGAGCAAAAACCCAGTTTCGTTAGGCACTTTGGAAACAAATTTAAAAATAAACATGTATTTTAACTCGATTACAGAATTTAGTGGATGTGTTTTAAAATTTAAAGTGGATGTGTTTTAAAATTTAAATTTTTCTGAAAAGAGAGGTTTTTTTTCTGGTATGTTTTACCCTCTCGGTCCAGTTTGTTTGTAGTACAATAATTTTGTTCTCTTTAGAGATTCGTCTCTATTAACTTTTAATACATTATTATTAGACTGAAAGAGGATATATGTAGGGCAAATAAAATTCAGACACAAGATATGGTATTGAAATTTATTTACTAATAATCAGGATGGGTAATGTACATGTTTCTATCATTAAAATATAACAGCTTTTGTCACATTGTATCTAGTACAAATATAATTTAAATAAAATTTTTTTAAATATTTATTTATTTTATTAATAGATAACCATTTATACGTAGAGGAACTTTCAAAAATTGCCCCTCCACGTAAGGGAATAAATGATGTAATAATTTTGATTCATGTTGCACAACACATATTTTTGCATACCTATTCGAATATAACGCTATTTTTAGGATTACATATATAAATAGTGATAGTTTTTCTCTAGGAGTGATACAAATATATCCAAGAGAGCACTGACATACATATACAGGTTCGGAAAGTCCCCATGGTACATCGGCCGTTACGTGGAGCGATAAAGTAAGTCATAGAAATCCGTGCGATAGACAAGTATGGTTACATTGAATAATCTGAATAGTCACTCTCACTTCTAACCCGAAACGGGCGGTAACTATTCAGATTATGAAACGTCTTCACTATAGCCATCCTTGTCTATCGCACGGATTTCTTTACTTTACTTTGTCGCTCTCATGTAAAGGCAGATGGACCATGTGGATTTTCCGGCCCTGTATACATGAAAATAAAGTTTCCTACAGTACATATGTAAAAAGGGGATAAGGACATTTTCGTGTGATCGCATCATCATCTCTGCATCACTTTAGTAGCCTCTTGCACGGACTGAAGAAGAAGACTGTCTTAGCCCCCATTTGTGCTCTGCTGACTACGTTACTGACGCCATGTTATCCTTGTTTTGAAAACCTGCGTAAAGAAAATATAAGTCAATACCTTAATTACATATTTCTTGTGTTATTTGGATTTGTTAGCAATGATTTACAAACATACATTTTGTTGGCAACATGTTCGCAGTCACCCGGTATGTATAGCGCAGGAATTAAATTGTTAGTTTGTTAGTACAAAGAAATACGAGTATATTAATTACTTTGTAGTAGTAATATCATGTTGAAGACAGTAACGGAATAATTTAGCATTAATTGATTCTGCTATCCATAAAGAAAAAATGAATTAAAAGTTGATTTTTTTATTTGTTTACTTGTGGAGTGGAGTTTCTATAATAAAAAACATTAAATTGATTTTAAATGTGCGAACAACCACAGTTGTTGTTTGCTTCGGCAATTCACCGTAATCTTATATAAAAGGGCAATATGCAATGTTTTAACCTTTTGTGGTGTCTGTTGAGAAATAGTTTCGTCCCTTTTGGGTTAGTAAATATTGTGGTTAGAGACAGCCTGGGGGAAGAAACGAGAATCCAAATAGAATTTTCTCAAAGCGTCTATTTTTTATTGTTCCTTTCTTTGCAAATATAATAAATCGGCAATGAAGTATCTTATATTCGATTATTCTTTTCAGAAAAATAGAAAATCTATATTTATTACTGTCGAACAGTAAAATAAGGGAAAATATAAATTACTAAAACTACCCTCTCGTTGAATATAAAATTCTGATCTGCGAAAAATAAATAGACAAATAAATTCTACTTTTGTAATTGTGTAAAGTGAAAAGTGAAATTACATTAAAAAAAGAGGAAACAGTATTTCAGGAAATAGCAGTAGCTAGTCCACGATAATTATTGTTTACCCACATAATGCAGGGAACATGAAAAGCGGAAGAAAGTGCGGAAAATTAGAATAAAAAACTGTTCTTTAATTTCATAATTTTCCGGTGTAAAATGTAACGGCGGCTGTTTTAAGTTCCATGTAATTTTAAGATGATGTTGTACAACTTCTTTAAGGGGTACTTAGGAGGAAAAATACCATTGTTAACGAGCCCTATTTGCATAAAGAAACCACCGACAAATAAGATTTAAAATCTTCCCCCTGTTAATGTATTTATCGCTACACGGTTTAATGTTATATAAATTATTTTTAGTGTATAATTCTAAATGCCATTTCGGAAGCAAATCTGCCCACGGGGGAAATTAGTTCGTGTAATTGGCTATTGAAAAGCGGCGATTTTAATAAAACCGGATATTTCACTTCAAAACGTTCGTCACTAAACAAAATCTAAAAAGTCTCTAAATATATATTCGACTTGTTAAATTTAATACGAAAATCTGCAAAAATGAAAATTATATTAAAAATGTAATTTTGTACTTTTTCCATTTAACAAGTAAATTTGCATAAAAATGTATACGCAACTTAATCCATCCGAAACAGTTCAGAGTAAATCCCCATTTATACAGGGTGTAACTTAAGTGAGGGTCAGTTTCTTAGTTTGAATACAAATCTAAAACTCTGTTTTTAATCAAATAAACAATCGGGTTATAAGTTTTTTTTATTACTGTCATTGAGTGCAGTAGATTGGGAGCATTCAGGAAAGCTAAAACAGTTAAAAAGTAATCAAATTCTAAAGAAAATACGGTATGTTCCTACTCTTTTTTCTTATTATTGGATATATTAAATTAATTGAAATTAACAAAACAACAAAATAAATCGTGAACGGTTTAAATTTAAGCAGAATCCGATCCTGTTTCGAACGCTTACGAAGAGCAACGGTGGTTCGCCTCCGCTCCTTTAATAAAATGTGCCTTTTAATCCTTTCCTTTAAACTATGAGATTTGACAACAGTGCATATTGCAGTTCCCAATTGTGCATGCGCTGTAAACAGTAAATATGCTGAAAAATAAGGGGCACTATATTCAAACTCTTAATTTTACACAGTATATTGTCTATAAAGATTTACAAAGTTTGTGTGTGAACATAATTATTGTAAATTGGTATAATTTGGTATAAACGTAATGATTCATAATTTTTACCAGACTATACAGGGTGTCCCACCGGAAACTGCGTCGATCGATATCTAGGAAAGTACTACTCCGAAAAATTTGAAAATTTGGCAACATAGCAAGTCCCTGGGGCGAACACGACTAAAATATCTAGAACTCTCCAGCACTTCCGGCTAAACCGGAAGTCGACATCAACTTCGTTATTTTAAATGGAACACCCTATATATTATTGCATTTTCGGATTCTACGTGAAATTTGAGGGTCGCTTTATTAAATATTCCCTATACCTAGGAGTTATAGATTTTGAGATATTAATTTTTAAAGAAAAAATTTGACATTTGGTTGGCGGAGATGCTAGTAACTCTTTTCAGGAGAGTGATATTAAACGGATTTATGGTGCCTGTAAAGGACATAGGTAACACTGCATTATGGTATACCAACAAATTAAAACATTTAATAGTAGGTGTTTCATTTTTGCTGTTACATTTTGATAACTTCAAACAGCTATAACTTTGTTAGTTTAAATGGAACATCCTATATTTTTTTACTCTGTCGTATGCAGATTGAAACTTCTTTATAAGCTATATAATCATTGTTATGGTTGCGGTTACTACTTTTAGAGATATTTGCAATTTTCTATTATTTGGACAGTTTTTCTCGTATCAAACTGTCAAATTGGCCATTACCAGAAACACTCCAAAAACAATTGAAATAACATGACATTTGTCAAGTTAGTCGTCAAATTATTGTTGTATCTGAACAGTTTCTGCCGAAAATTTAAATAAAACATAACATAATAACAAGCAAATTAATTAACATAATAATAATCCTCATGCGTATAATTTAAACGATCCCCAGGCATTTTTATTTAAAAATTTTCAGCAAAAGTATTATAGAGATAATAATTTGACAACTAATTTGCAAATTTGCCATGTTGCCAAATTTGCAAATTTTTCGGACACCTGTATGTATCCGATTTTTTTGGTTTACATATTATTAATTAAAATATTTTATGCATTTTACTTTTTATTAATAGAGAAGTTTTATTTACTACATTTACAGGTTACATGTTACAAAAAACACAGCAACTCTTATTTTCGAATGTTTACTTTCCTTTTGAAAATTATTCTCTAAAGTTTTGAATTATTTCAGTTTAAATAAGAACGTTCTTTTTAAATTTAAATGTTATGTTATATGTATCTTTAACTGAATCGTTTCAATATTAAATTTACTGTTACTTTTTGAAACACCCTTGTATTATCTGCATAGAATTTTTCTTCACTTTTAAATTTATCAGCAACATCCATAGTATTATTTTTCTTTGTATTATTACAATAAAGGGCTTCGGCAGGATCATCGTGCTGTTGTAATTAAAAATCTTTGAAGGTTTTCAATTCGTCTGACTTGCCTGTTATTAAGGCGTTATTTAGCCTTAACACCTGAGCTATAAATGAGTTCAGTAATATTTTATCTGTCGAAGCTCCGTATCTCCCGACTTTTAGGAGATAATGAGCGAAGCGTCATCTTGTTTAGGAACTGGCAAAGTTACAAGTGTAACCTATATTAATTCTGCCTTGCCGCTATTAACCGGCAGATGAACGTAATAAAACAAAGATAACTATACGTTTCTCGTAATTGGTAACCGAGACAAGAGACTGTTCCCGTCAAATATTTATTAGACGAACCGAAGGCTCTTACAATTCACGACAAATCTTAGCTGGTTTATGGATTCTTCTCTAATAGCATTACACGACGGCATCTTGTAATACAAGGGAGAATATGTTATTACTTCCCCTTTGTTCCCTGCAATCCGAATCACCAGCAATTTAACCCACGTGGAATCTAATAAATCCAAAACGATTTAAAAATAATTCTTAAATTTTCACAAGTATAAAACGTTAATAATTTTATGCATCTATTAATAACAGTTTCGCATGTAATTCGTAATAACAAATAATTAGGGGAATACGGTAAGTAATATTTTAATTAAAAATCTAAAGCATTGTTTATTCTGATGAACTGCGTTCGAGTTCAGTTTAGATAAATAACTAATTTTTTCTTTTAATTTTAAATAACATCATGTAACGTAAAATGTCTTTTAAAAATACATGGCAGCAATTGGACACTTTAAACACATTAATTTTGTATCGGTTTATATTATTTCTATTCTGATATTATCCTGTATAGCAGTGGCGGCTCGTGACACTGTCAATAGGTGAGGCCCGTGGCTTTTTTACTAAGTGAGCAAAAAAAAAGCGGCGCAGGCAAAAATTATTTAATTTTCAAGGTCAAACGACTAAATGCATCTGGAAATTTTCAAATGCATGTACAATATAACAGAAAAACTGATGTTCACGAGCAGGATTTTCATTCAGATTTTATAAAAAATAATACGCAACTATTTGGATATTTTATTAATCCGTTCTCAAATAATAAATAGGAATAAATTTCCACGTCGTTTTTTATTATGGGGATCTTAGCCAATAGCTCTACTATAACCGTAAATTAATAAATTATATTATTATTACATTATTAATAATAATATCACTTTAAAAATTGTATTCACAATAAAATTAAGTAAAAAAAAACAAAGTGATATATTTACCTAATAATTAACAAAATTGCTTCTACTTGGTTTATGAATATCAAAAAATATAAAAACAAATTTTCATAAGGTAGCCAGCAAGCCAGCTAACTTATCTATTTACATATAAAACAACACCACCAGCTTTTCGTTTGCCTTCACTTTTAACAAAATATTTTAAAAACA